CACACACACACACACACACACACACGGAGAAGGCCCCGTGATGATGGAGACAGAGATCGGAGTCATGTGGCTACAAACAAGGACACCAACGACTGCGGGCAGCCTCCAGAAGCAGGGAAGAGGAAGGGAAGGATTCTTCCTAGAATCTTTGGAGGGAACATGACCCTGCAAACATCTCAATTTTGGACTTGTGCTGCTAAAACTACACTACTTTGAGAAAATAAATTTGTTTTTGTAAGTTGCAGAGCTTGTGGACATTTGTTGTTGCAGCCACAGGATGTAAAACCACCACCCAAGTGGGACATCACTGCAAAGGCCACAGTGAGTAATGCACATCACAAACTGAGGCAGTTGATAAACCAGCATGCAGGGGTTACGTATTTGCTCAGTGGGCATAGGGGTTGGCATTCTGCGGCAGACATCTACAAACAGAATTAATCTTTGCTGTACTGTGTTCCCTTCTCAAAGGGCTAGTTTTGGAATCCAGAAAGAATTGGATCAATCCCACATTCATCACTCACAATGAGCCCCCCTCTCTAGACCCCAAATCTGGGTGTTCAACTGATCCTGCAAAGCGCCGGTGACTAGAGAATGGTGTCATGGATGCCAAGGGCTGGCCACGCCTGGCCTGCCCTCTTTTAGGCACTCAATTAATGATTACTTTCTTTCCTTTGGTTGATGCCTCTGGGCTTTTAACTCTTCCTGTCGTCTTCTCCTACACCCTGCAGGAAGCTTCCGCTCTCTGGACACAGGAGCTGGTGTGTTCTGCAGGGGAGGGGAACAAGGCCTGTCTTTCCCTTCCTTTTTCCACAGAATCAACCTGCAAAGCAGAAATCCGCACCGAAGGCAGGTCCAAGACAAATAAGTTACCATTTGCGTCCTGCAAGGTAAACAAAGGCTGCCCAGCGGCTTTCTCCAGTTACTGCCTTTGCCTCCAAGCTTTCCCGTAGGGAAAGTGGCCGAAAGCCAGGAGACCCGTAGGCAGGTATTTTCTGTTGGAAAAGGGCACCCTGGGACATGGATCCTTCCCGAAGTATATAAATCAGGCTCGTCTGCTCTTGGTCTCACTAAAAGCTAAACATAGCTGAGGTCAATCTTCAGACTGTGGTCAGTTTACCAAACACTGCATTACTATTTTAAATGAGCAAACAGGTGAAGTCTCAGAGAAAACAAGAGAGTGATTAGACATTCAGCCATCTGAGTCAAGATGGGCAGATAAATTACAATTTCAAGCAATACACAGCAAGGCCAAAAGAACCCACTGACCAGCACCACTTGTGCTGCTACCCAGCAGTCCGCCTCAGCCTGGCATTGTCTTCCCTACTCGTGGAGCTGTGTTTCTGGAAAAGGGCTGGAGGTATGTAACAAATAAACTATAACCGTAATGCAGGAAGCAGCAAGTGTGCATTATGCAGCGATTTATACTTCAAATCCTAAATCTAATGATTTAGCAAAGACATGTTCTGTCTTAAAAACAAGCAACGTTACCACCCGCTTACACAGAGTGTTAGAGCTTTCGAAGAACATTTGCAGATCTCTACCCTGCTCCTTGCTAAGTCTCTCAAAGCCTCAGTTTCATCATTTGTAAAAGGAGGGGAAGAGTATCTCATGGGATTATTCTGATGGTTAAGTGAGAAGAAAATTAAGGATTTAATTAATAATCTTTCACCACCACCACCATCACCATCAGTTTAATGGGAAGACTCTTTAAACATTTAATCAAAATTTAAAAGATTTTCATGGTTCCATTGTGTGTTCTTGGTGCTTAAAGAGACAGTCCTCACCTAAATCTAAAAAAGACTTTCGTGGTGTGAAACAATTTCAGTTCAACCATGGAGGGAGGATGAAGCCTTCTGGTATAAAGGAGATGCTAGAACCTTGGCACTGCCGCCCACCCTCCCCACCTCCACGGCTTCCCCTGATCCGCCCAGTGTGTAAAAAGCTGAAACTGGCCAAGGTGATATACAGAAGGCTCATCTAAGCCTGGTTCAGAGCATTGCACTTCCAATTCCCACACGTGCCCCTTGACCCGCCACCTGCTGGGAAATGCCATACTTACTGTATCCCATGCCCTGCACAAAGTACTTGAAGGCCTCGGCGAGCTTGGCTGGCTGCGAGGGAAAAGGAGGAAAAGTACAGTCAGTTGCTGGAGGTCCAGATCCTAACCGGCCACATGGAGCTGTGCCCATGGTCGCCTTCAACAGAGAGCTCAGTCCAAGAGCGAAGGCCACCTGTGCTGAGAGACTAAGGGGTAATTATAGGGACCAAAATTAGCTCTGGCTAGGGAGAAAGTTCAAATGCACTTCCTACGGGGGAGCGTGGTCAAGCTCTATGACCTGTCCGAGCCAATTTCTTCCCCTCTAAAATATGCAGAGAATGCCACACCTGTGTCTGAGGGTTTTGGTGGCAAAGACTACATTAAGCAATTGAGGTGTCCGTTCAACATCTAAAATGGAACAGTGCCAACATCATGTGTCACTTGTGCTAAACATTTTGTAGCATTATCTCATTTTCTCCCAACAAGACCTTAGGAGGCTAGTGCCATTCTCATATGCGTTTCATAGTTGAACAGTCTTGGAGAGGTGAATAATCCATCCAGGGTCCCACAAGTAATCAGTGGTGGTTCCTGCAGATTAACCCAGGGCTTTCCGAACCCCATGCTCTCCAGGCAGTTCACTCACTTGCAGCCTGGCTGGAAGGAAGGAAGGGAGAAAGGACAGTGGATAGACAGATAGTTGGATGGAAAGGAAAAAGGATGAATGGATGGACAGAAAGGAGGACAGGTGCATCGAAGGTAAGAAAAAATGGAAAGAAGGAAGCGACTGATAGATGAATGGAGATGGATAGTTGGACAGTCCAACAAACCAATTAATCAACTGGGCTCTTTCAAGTGCAATGCACTGGTAATGCTGACAACACATTCAGTTTTACCAATTACTCTAAAAAATTTAATCTAAACCGGAAGGTGAAGCCATATTCATAGTCTAACTAACTCCATGCAGTGCCCTGAGTCCGTTGGCCTCATGTTCTTTTACTTTTCCGGTGAGAAATTGTCCATAGAGGCAGTGATCCCGCCCTCCTCCACCAACCCCTGCCACCGTTTTACAAAGAGCCAAATAACATTTAAAGGAGAGGCTGTGCTCAGATTGCCCCCTGGGGCTTGTGTGACAATGGTAAGAAAGTGACAAGAGTTGTCTGCGTCAACACGGTGGCAGAGGAGGGCTGGGGAATGAGAACACCTAGGCCTGAATTTGGCTCCCGTGGGAGACTACGGAAAATCTCCCCCATCTTTTTAGCCTCACTTTCCTCTTCTCTGATGCTACCATGAAATGCTCGCTAAGGACTGTTGCAAGGATCAAATGGAGTGAAGGCCGGGCATGCCCTTTGGACACATACACCCAACTTGCAAGGGCAGGAGACGTTATACAGTAATTGGTTCTCCCTGAACTGGTCTCCTGGGAACGAGGGCTAGTTCAGCCCCTGCCATGCATGTAGACTGTGTATTAATGATGGCCAGGGTTGGACCTGTTCTAATTTCAAGTAGAGAAAGAAGAAGAAAAGGAGGAGAGAAAGGGAGGAAGGCAAGATGGAAGGGAAAATGGTCCCCTTTCTCCCCAGCCAACCTCCGGAAGGCCCTGGAGGCAGCGTCTCAGTAGGAGTCTCAGGAGCAGGCTGGATGGACACATGGCTCCGTGTGTGGACTTAACTCATGCTTACGTCTAAGAAGAGCTCTCCTGGGAGCCCGCCCTCTAGTGGTGGGGACATCCCATCCTTCTTCGGTCACTCCCGGCTATCAAATGGGTACAACACAACAGCAGATAAAATGCTGAAAAGATGTTGTTCTTTTCTAATGGAAGCAGAGGGACACTGGAAGCAGCACCGAGAGGCTAAAAGAGCCGCCAGAGGCCACATGGGCCTGTACTTCTGTTCTGGAGCAACATGCAGCAAGACAGGATCCAGGGCAATGAGCAAGACCCAGAAGCTGCCTGATGGAGAAAATCTGCTCCTGGGCTGCCCCAGGGCCCCTCAGCCTTTTCTTCAGATCCCCAGTGGAATACTTCACGATCCCAAACAGAAGCGTGCTTTCTGCTCTGGCTGCTCGGAATCTTATAGGGCACCCAGACGGACCCGTCAGCCGCTGCCCGCTCCCTGGGGCACGCAGCCCACACTCTGCCTTTTCTATCAGACAACACTTGACATTGGGGGGACCACAGGAAATCAATCAAAGAATTGATCCCCTCCACACTGAAAAGCTCCCTATGGCACCACAGGGCACAGTAAAAAACCAGAAATGACCTAAATGCCCAGGAATAGGGCATCAGGGAAATGAATCACCGCATAACCATACCATGGCGTTCTGCGCTATCATTACAAACTAAGGTGCAGGGCATTTTTTTTAACCGAATGGAAATAGCTCTAAGATGTGAAATTATGTGAACAGGTGGAAAGTATACCTGCAATATTTTACTTAGAGTAAGAAAAAATATATGCAACTACACAAAAAAGGAGACTAGAAATAAATACTCCAAAATTTCTAACAACTAACAACTGTGTAATCTGAAGTTGGTGTACTAGGGGTAGCTTTTTAAATTATTATTTTATTCATATGTATTTTTAAGTTTTTCTTGATGAACATGTATTACTTTGTAATTAGGAAATTACAAGCAATAAGTGCCAGGATTAAAAAAAAAACGCTTATACACATTTTGGGTCCTGGTTCTTTACTGAGGAGGGCAACTCCCTCTCTCTTCTCTAAGAGTCTAAGTTGTTTTCTTTATCTCCCAACCTGGGGTCGTGCTCAGATGACTGGGTTGTGGATAAGAAGCCCCTCAGCCAGGGAAAGCTGGAGTCCAGGGGCTAATGCATGGCTGGGGGAGGCTCACGGGAGGGCAAGCTAGGATGGCGTGGCCTCAGACAGCTCCAGTGCTTTCTGGCGCTGAGCCCTCAGCTGGAGGACGGAATCATCACCCTCGCCCTAGGGGCCTGGCGGGTGGGCGGGACCCTGAACACCTGCTCACAGCTGCAAAGGTGGCTCCCCAGGGAGCTTGCGGGGACCTGCCAGAAGTGAACAAGGGGCACATAGGGAAAAAGACCCGGATTCAACTGTTGTCTATGGAGAAATGGCTGGATTACAGAAGCTCTGAAGTCCCTTTCAGGGTTTCAGGAAGAAAGGGAGGCAGGGCACGGTTTGGTGGGAAAGATAGCAAAAATAGACATGATAGCTCATTTTGAGATAGAGTTACAAAGACTAGAATGATATACAATCCTAAGAACACAGACTAAAAGTTCATTTGCTTGCTAAATTGGTGGGGTTATTTATGGGTAGGGAATTGGAGGGACCAGTTACAGGGCAGCAAACACACCACATGAATTGATGTGTTTATATGTGCCCGCAGGCATGCACATGTACACACACACTCATACACACATACAGATATTCATGCACACACACATACATATACACATACACACACACTTTGGTTTCCTCTCCTCCCCACCACCCTATGCTGGCCTTGAGCTCCGAAGCCGTGGCTCCAGCAGAAGCCTGTGGTCTCTGGGGTCAGGCACACCTGGATTCTGGTCAACAGTTGCCAAGCTGCATCCACTTAGCAAATCCCTTCACCCCTGCACACCCCAGTATCATCATTCCACGGGGGCTTCTGGGAAATCAAGTCCTGATGTACAAGCATGTTTTATAAACAGTAACATGTCCACAGAGTATCATCAGATGTCATGTGAGGTGCAGGACAAGCAGGCAGTGAGGAAAAAGGCAGTAAAGGTCACAGAGGCACATGTCCTCCACCTGGGGAGGGGTGGGAGGTGGAACTCACCTGGGAGATCTGCGGGAGGCCACCACAATCTGCCATCTGGGAGAGAGGGAAGCTGGTTAGAGCCACACACCTCAGCAGAAGCAACCCCTGCCCTGTGAACCGGCTCCAAATGGGTGCCCACCCTGCCTGCTGCCCTGCTTTCTGTCTTGCCTTGTTGAGGGGGGATCTGGGCATACCACAGGTAGGCAAATACCCAGCCCTCCTCAGCAAGACTTCTTTTATTACTGTCCATCTTGGCATTGAACTGCATCTTCCTGGCAACCATTACTTGTAGCTCACGATATACCTAGGCACTCTGCTAGGCCCTAAGATAATTCCACTCTGTTCCTCAAAAACCCAGGAAAGTACAATGATCCTATTTTAGAGGCAGAAACTGGGCCCAAGAGAGCTTGAAGAACTTGCAAGGTTCTGGTGAAGATGTGCCTGACCAGAAAGCATTCACCATACAAGGCCCTGTACACACATTCTCCTGAAAGATTCCCTCAGAAAGAAACTGCTAGATTCGAGATTCCAGACCTGGTGGAGTCTTCACTGGCCACCACTGGTAAATACAAAGTTCCTATTAAATCACCAAACCTTAATTAAAGCCACTTCAGGCATATGCGAGCATCTACCAGGCCAGGGCTTGGAGCCGTCGGGCAATGGTATGAGCAGGCTGCGGATGGCTTGGAGGCCCACGGGATGGGCAGGAGTTGGCGAGGGTGCGAGAGGCCGTGTCCTACAGACGCCCAGCTCCCTATCATACCAGGAGAATGTCATCTGGGGGGGGATCCCTCATTTCCCACAGGTCCTTCCTGGGTCACCTATCCTTACAGGGATACAACCAAAAAGACTCCTGATCCTGTGTGGCACCTTTGGTGCAGGCTGCCACCCTCGGAACAGCCCACATGGTTTGTGGTCCCTCCCTCACCGGGGCACCACGACCAGCAGCCTGCAGACTTTTGGGGTCTGAGAGAGGGATCTTCTCACTTTTGCAGCCTAGCCTCGGGTTACCAGCCAGAACCCAGCAGATGTTTGTGAATAGATACATTAAATAACCATGCCTGGTTTCTGACCACCAGCTTTGTCTCAATCAGACACCACTCGATTTTGCAGGAAACACAGGGGTTTTAAGAACAATGCAGACTCCCATTACTGTCCCTGTACCTTAAGAAGAGTAGTCTTTGTTGGGTCCAATTTCGAGTTGCACTCCACCTGGACAAGGGAAAGGGAGGAAAGAGTTGTTAATTTTCTGTTTGCAGCCAAAGTCATAATTGTCCCCGCTTTTCTGCTACCTTGCCACCACCATCAGAAAGACCAATGTTCCTACAAGCACAGAAGAAAGAACCTGGGCTTCAGGATCAGACAATGTGGCTTTAACTTCCTGCCCAGCCATTACTAGCTATGCGGCCTTGGGCAAGTTACTTCATTTCTTTGAGCCTCAGTTTTCTCATCAACACATCAGAGATAATATCTTTTTCAAAGCGTTGTTTATTGAAGATTAACTAAATGCAGATGGTGCTGCAGAAATATCTGCTAAGTGAGTGTTCCTGTCTAACTAGCTGCCGCCAGTGATTCTACAAGTTCAACACACCCAGTCCCAACAGCTATTCTTCACAGGAAGTGATATCCACCAAGCTGGTTTCTCTCTTCTCTCAAAATTTGTCAATGAACATCTTAAAAGTGCATCCAAAACTGGGCAAAATACTTACATGTAACCTTTGGTAAAACTATCACCTCCTTTGATGTGAACAATATATCTCTACTGAGGCATCCTATGATTATGTCCAATGGGTTAGATCACAAGAAATTCATGGTTCGCTATGACATCCCAAGTCTTTGCTAAATGATCATTTGCAAATCCCACTCTGTAGCCCACTGCCCAAGGACACAAAGAGCTGTTTTGCCTCCATATCACAGGTGGGAATTAAGGAGTGAAATGAAGTTTGCCCTTAAGCCCCACTCCCCGGTACCTCTCTGTCCTGTCAGATGATCAGGCACCGACTAGGTCTGAAAGCCCCAGCTAATTACCAAATGGGAGGAAAGTCTCATGGTCATGAAGCCGAGTGGCAAACACACCCATATAAACAAGCCCATGGGAGGCAAATTGGCAGGTGAGGCGGCCTGGGAGAGAAGACAGAGGCCCACTGCCAAGCATTCAAGGCTGGCAGTCACCAAGGAAGAGGCTGGTGACCGGGCCCTCTGCCCAGCAGCCAATATGGCATTTACAAGCCGTCACCTGCCCTGATGGGGGCAAAGGAGGTGGATAGGGTGGGCAGGGAGACCTCATATGAAATCAACCAGATATGGACTTGGGAATTGAGCGACAGAAGCTCGTGGTTGATTTCTACATACCACAGCGTCCACAGCAGGAGAACTGTCCCCCACAACCAGCAAAGCAGGGCACCTGCAGGCGGGGGGAGAACAGGGAGTTAACACGAGGTTCATTTCTAGATTCCCACACCCCCAGGCCTGCCCGAGTTCTCAAAAAGTTTATTTTGGTTGCCCCACTACTATTTGTTCTTTTTACTTTCTTCATCCTCCATATTCTGCTTTGTTCTTAGGATAAAATGGGGTAGCAGCTATTTATACCTTAGTATGAATTTCAGTTAGAGGATTTTTGCACCCTGATGTTTTATTTTCAAGTACCCTCTCTTCAAGGATAAGTAGGATTTTGTCAGCAATCAAGAACAGAGACAAAAAGGACGTGCCTGACAAAGGAAATGGCATGTGCCAGGCTGATAGGGTTCATTTAGGGAACTATAAAAAGACACAGTCCTCACTGGAGGAATACAGTCAGTTGTAACCACAACCCTTCCTCCCAGCTTTAGAGAGAACTCAGGGTGGGTCCTCTGTCCTATGCATCCCCAGGCTCTGAAACAAAGCCTGCATGGTATCGGACACAGAGCAGGTGCTTAATAAACCGTCCAAGTGTGGTCGGCATTCCTTCTCTGAGCTCCAAGGCTCCAGCCTAGATCCTGGGGACACCCTAGGAACTAAGCACTTGCACAGGCGAAGACGAGTGAGATTGGGTGGTGCCCAGCCCCAGGGTGGAAAGCACCCAGTCCTCACTGATGGCAGTGAGTGTGGCAATCCTGCCCAGCTCAGAAGGAAGACCCTGCCGGCGTCTGTCTGCCCGGCTTCACAGAGCTTAAGATGGAGAAATGCAACTCACTGCAGGGTGACGGTGTGGGTTCCTGGCATCGGTCGCTCAATCTCCAGGTCCCGTCGGCTACAGACAACAAACACACGGTACCTCAGCAGACCCTCCCCCGGAGGAAGCCCCATCCCACCGCGCTAATCCTGCCCGTGGCCGGTCTTGCAAACCACCCACATGCCAACCTGTGTGAGGTCATGTGGTCTGTGGGGGCCCAAATATGTAGGTTCAGGGACAGCAGGACTCACACATTTCCCGTGGAGCCCACCTCACTGTCCCCAACATGTCCTTTTCTTCTTACTGGAGTGCAAATCATGTTCCCTCCACAGAGGGTCCCTGCCTCTGGTCCCCCTTCTTGGAGCCCCCACCTGACCAACAGAGACTCCAATCTTAGTCTGAGGCTCCATCTCTCCCACAACTCTGATTCCTCTGCACAGTAACCCAAACAGTCTCTTTAGAATTCAGACCTGGTCCTTTCACTCCCACATTTCAAACCCTCTGATGGTTCCCTGTTGTACTGCAATGATAAATGATAGCCTGGTAAATGGCCAGCATGAGGCAGGTGGCCCTGTTACCTGGCTAGCCCCACCGCTCTCCCTGCAGATGGACACCCAGCCTCTCACTGCCTGGAAGCTCCCACCAGGAGAATCCCTTCCCTAGCTCACAGCCTGGAGCCAGATGGGATGGATTCAAATCCAGCTCCACTTCCTAGCTGTGTGACCTTGGGAAGAATGCTCAACCTTTCTGTGCCTTCCCTTCCTCAGCAGGAAATGACAATAACAGCAACCTCATCATAGGGTTTTTGGGAGGAATTCCTATGCTCTCATGGAGGCAAAGCAGCGTGTGGGGCTTGGGGGCTGTTGCTGGTCTCTGTATGCCCACTGCCTCGCAGACAGCCTGCCATGCACCAGTGTTCAGGACATGCTTCTGAAAGGATGAACGGCTGCATCTTACGTCTTCAATTACATGCTGGGGATCGGAGCTCTCCCGCCCACTCTGAGGGGCCTGGAGCATGGTAATGGGAACTGGACGCTGAACTTGGTTACAGACTAATGCACTTCATGGAGCTGAGTTACTGACATGTGAACCCAGACAGAGCCCATGAGGCTCCTTCCTGTCCCCCCTGTGGGCGTCTGAACAGCAGAGCTGGCTCAGCTGCCTGGGTGAGCTCCCTGGAAACGTCAGAAGCCCCGCTGACACCAGTGGCCCGAGCTGAGTTCCAGACCAGCACCCAGTTTTCATTGAGAGGGCCACACCCTTGCCAAAGGCTTTGAAGGGCTCCTTATGTATGGGGGGACCCGCCTCCCAGCAGTGTCCCTAGCTGCATGCCACCCCCGAGGCCCTGTGCCCTCTCAGCTCTCCTTACACCCTGTCTCGCAGTCTGCTGCGGGCACAGGCCCAAACTCAGTGTGTCTCACTCATGCCGGTGCCCTGAGGGCCTGGAGTGGCCCAGCCCCTTGCCAAGCACTCACAACTCCGGGAGGCACCTGATGTCCCTGGTGTTCTTACCGGACACCCTTGTCCTATTCATCTATTTGCTGGAGTTCAGGGGCTGAATCCTCTACAACTTCTACACTCCCCTCTGCCTTACCCTATGTTCTGGACCTTTGAAAGGAGCCTGATAAATGGCCACCGTGTGGCTGGGTGACCCTGTTACCTGTTGTAGGCGTTGATAAACAAGTGCAGGTTGCTGGGGTTCATGTCGTTCACGATGTGCTGGCGGCAGGTATGGACCACCTCCACGTTATTCTGCATTTCCTCCTGCATTTAAAGAGATCACACGTCCTTTGTTGGCACTGTGGCCCTGGGCCAGTCATAATATGCATTCTTTAGGTCACACTGGTACAAAGTGAAGATAGTGATACCCAATCCCCAGATCTGCTATGGTGCCTAGGGAAACCTTCAGGAAAAAAGGAAACTGCTTCCCAAATGCAATGTGATGTTTGACTATCAGCTGGTACCAGGAAGGGACAGAAACTGGCCTGGACAAAGAAGGCCTTTCTGGGCTCATGATCTCAGGAGTTTAGATCACAAGTCAGTGCTCCTGGACCTGGAGCGTGGTTCCATCACTGTCCCTTTTTTGGGAAAGTGCCTTAACCTCTCTGAGCCTTTAGCTCCCTCAAAAAAAAAAACAAAAGGCAGCATTGCCAGGGGGAGTAATATTACCTACTTCATCAGATTGTGGGATCTGAAACAAAAGCCCTTTGTAAACAGTGAAAAGTGATGCGACTCTTAGCAATTAATATTTTTTAATGGGGAAAGTTGAAAAGCTTTTTATGCTGGAAAAACAAAACCAACTCCTTCAATGGGTAGTTTTGCTGGAAAGAAGGGCAATGTCTGTTCCCCAAGGGGCAACCAGAGCCCTGCAATACAGCCTCAGCCTTCCTGCTCGCTGGCTCCTCTCTGAATGTGATTTGGGACACAGACAAGCCCGGAGCTTGCTCTGTTTCTCATTTGCACAATGGCAGATGCTGCAGGGTTCACCAAATGGCCAGATGTGATGAGCGGCAGCCAGGAGAGGGACGGGGCAAGGGGGGGCCGTGTCACGCCCAATCTATTGTCAAAACAGTCCACGAGCATTTAAGCAACAAAGAGCCCAACTGCTTATTAAAAGGAAAATCAGGAAAAATAGAAGAACTGTCCTAGGGTTTCCGTATTCTGATTTTTTTCCATATTCCTATCAGGTGGAGAAAATGCATCACAAACTATGAAATGAAGCATAAAAGAGAAACAAGGACCCAAGTGGACAGAATGGTGGTCCCCAAGGATAGGTCCACATGAAATCCCTGGACTCTGTGATCATTAACTGATTTGGAAAAATGGTCATTGCAGATATAACTGAGTGAAGGATCCTGAGATGAGGTCATCCTAGGTTGTAAATGGTCCTAAATCTAGTGACAAATGCCCTTATAAGAGGCAGAGGGAGTGTTGAAACAGACAGTGGAGGTCATGCAAAGACATAGGCAGAGACTAGAGTGAACAGCTACAAGCGAAGGAATTCTGAAACCACCAGAAGCTGTAAGAGGCAAGGAAGGATCCGCCCCTACACTGGGGGGCATGTGGCCCAGCAGACACTTGATTTCAAAGTTCTGGCCATCAGCACAGTGAAAGAATAAATGTCTGTTGTTTTAAGCCATCCACTTTGGGGTACTTTGCTACAGTGGCCACAGGAAATTCATACAAGGACACTGCACCCACCCCAGAGCAGAACGGCTGCTTCGCTGGGGTGTCATGTGGCCCCACATCAAATGGTCACAGTCTTCAGTGCAGAAGCAGACAGCGGTGAGTGGCCGCACAGCAAACAGTGAGGCACCTCCAGCTTGGCAACCCAGGGTCTTTCACTTTCTGGATTTGCAACAGACATCGTCCCCTGGGGCTCTGGGCCCCAACTGGGGACACAAAGCCAGAGTCAGGGGCATGCTGGCTGGGCTGACAAGTACAGCGGCATGGCTGGGCCCACCCGCAGTTTGATAACTGCAGGAACAACCCGCGGAGAGTCAGGCAACAGCAGACGCACGGAACAGCGGTGTCCTGCTCTGGTTACAGCAACGTGTTCTGGAGCCAGAGTCATAGGTTCCAATCCCATCCCGACTTCTCCCTGGATGTTAGACCTCACACAGTCACTCACCCTCTCTGGTCTCTGTTTCCTCACCCATAAACCACTTATAAAAATAGCATTCTTCACGTGGGTCAGAAAGCTCCTGGGTGGCTTCCGTGAGTTAACACTTGCAAAGCCCTTAGGACTGAGCTGGACACACAGCAAATTCCATGGATGTGTTTGTTGAAGGTTTTATCTGTAATAGCCCCAAACTGGAAATAACCCAAATGTCCATCAACAGGTGAATAGGAAAACAAGCTGTGGTACGTCCATTGCACGGAATACCACTCTGCACTAAAACGGAGTGAACTGCTGACCCCCCCTAACAGAGATGGATCACAGGAGAACTATGCGGAGTGAAGTGAAAGAAGCCAGAATTTTTTTTAAAGAGTACATACTGTATGACACACTTATATAAAGATCTAGGAAATGCAAAGTAATCTACAGCGACTGGAAGCAGACCAGGGATTGCAGGGAGGAGGGAGAGGAGAGAGGGAACAGGAGGAAGGTTACTAGGGCACAAGGGAACTTCTGGGGTGATGAATATGTTCATTGTCTCAATTTCAGGGATGGTTTTATGAATGTCTATGCATGTCAAAATTTGTCCAACTTTATAAAGATGTGCAGTATATTGTACTTCAAAAAAGCTGGTAAAAAAAAGCTTTATGTTAAAAAAAAACAGGAGAGTGAATCATTGGTGATCATGCACTAATGTCACATTACTTTGTGAGCAGCAGCATGTGGTCCCCACTAGTGTGTGCCTTGTTCTCATGAGGCTCTGCCTGCTGGGCAGCATGTATCCCTCAACATGATGACAGAATGGCAGGCCATGCTACTCACCTTCCCAAAAAGGTGGGATATCACCATGTCTGGAAGGGCTTGGGTCCAACCGGAAATCTAGGGAGGATGAAAATGTGGGATTAAAAAGCAGGCATTCGCAGTCGTGAGTCAAGGTTGGCAAAAGCCTCAGGGGCAGAGCGGCAGTGCTGGGCAGCCCAGCTCTCAGGTCTGAGGACGCCCCCTTGATGGGAACAGGTGCCCATCTCCAACTACCTACTGGATCTGGGGCCTCTGGAAGGCAGGACCTGAGTCTTCTCAGTTCCTTGTTCTCATAGAGTCCCCTGCACAAGAGATGCATGGCAAATGGGTGCTGAACAAAGACCCACCTTGCTCCGAGCTCGGACTGAGCCACAGCACACTGAGTCCCATCCTATTCTTGTCAGCATGCACTGAACAACCCCAGCTACACCCAGGACCTGCTTACCTCCAGCTAGCCTTCCTGTATTATTCTCCAGATTTTCCCCTTCAAGCCAGTTTCCTCCCTCTGAATATACTGAGGTTCCTTAAGACACTGATGGCTTTCTCCTTTCTACCTCTCCCCACAACAATAAGTATATAGCAGGAACCCCATAAATTCTATATTTACACCAAGAGCTCCATATGTGCTAGGTGTGCAGGGGGAGCTCCATACCTGTTAAGTACACAGCAGGAGCTCCATAAATGCTGGGCATACATCAGGAGTTTCATAAATGCTAAGCATATTCAAGAGCTCCATAAATGAGAGGTATACAGAAAGAGCTCAACAAATGTATCTTGACCAGCTGCAGTGTCAGGCAGGCATTGGTAAGAGAGAGAAGCTCTAGACCTGGGGGTTCCTCTACATTGGAGATCCTGCCACATCCCTGCTGTGTGGCCCTGGGCAGGCTGCAGAGCCTCTGGAGCTCAGACTTCTCATCTGTAACTGGGGTGCCAGGAACTGCAAAGTCACAAGGCCAAGGTGAGGATTAGGAAAGGCAACTACCCAGGTCACAGGCTCTGCCTCCAGTGCCTGACCCAAAGTGGACCCTTGATACAGGTCTTTTTTTCTCCCAGGGCAGGGGTTGAAAAGGAAGGATATGGTACAGCTATTAAAACCTCACTAACATTCCTCAGGCTCCACTTTAGCCAATGGTCAGGGTCCCACGCCCTCCATGCCTGGCTCAGAACAGCTACCAAGGAGCCAGACTGGCTGATTGGAATGTCACTTCCTTTGTTGGAAAATAAAATAAAAAATAGGGAGTGTGTTCCGCTCCTGAATATCATGCAGGTGGGAGGGAAGGTCTCCCATGTTCTGGCAGGAAGTTCCAGGAAGAAATGCAATATCAGAGTGGCCAGAACAGGGATGAGAAGTGGGGGGAGGGGCATGGCCCCTTCAGACCCCATGTTCCAGGACAGCCATCCCACACTTGGCAAAAACACACTTTGAAAATGAGAAGCCAGGATCACCCCAGCTTGAAAGGTTTTGTCCTGTTTCAATTGGAACAGTTTCCCCCTCTCCTTGGCAAATATACTGGTGCCTTTATGAAAAAAAAAAACAATAATCATTTTTAAAAGATACACAAAGAACCCTAGGACACCAGCCAGAACAGAGCTTCCCGAGGCAGCAGACCCTTCTCTTCCAGGCGGGACGCGTCCGGCCCTCTCTGTACTCCCAGACCTGCCCAGCTGTGTCAAGGCAGGCATCACCACCGGGTGACTGGGAGACCAGGGCTGCAGTGAGCAGAGCTCGGAGGTGAAGCCCGAGGCCCACAGAATCCAAGGGACGTGTATTCGATCCCAGTTCTCCCACTGCCTAGCTCTGTGCCACCCCTGACAGCTTCCCTAACCACTCTGAGCCTCAGTTCCCTCCTCTGCAGAATGGTTATGACATCCCCCTCCTCTGGAGTTACTGTGAGGATTAAATGAGGTCATGCATTTAGTAACAGAGAGGAAACAACACCTAGGGACACTCAACACATGACAGCTAGTTAGTAGTGCTGTCAAATTAAGTAGCAGAGAGGTGATCCTAAATACATCTATTTCTTTTTCATCAATAATATGTGGGTTCCTGAGATTAAAGGCCTTTGTCTTGTTCATCTTTTTATTCTCAGCATCTTAAGCAAAGCCCAACACATGTTAGGTCCCAGCCAATACTTTTTAAAGACCCAGGCTGTGCTTATCAAAGCTCAGGGACCAAGTCCCCATGGTATCTCTGGCTCAGACAGCAGTGTCCTGCCAACAACACCTTCTCAAGTCACGTTTACCATTCCAAGCAGAGCAGAGGAAGCCTGCTTCCCTCCCTGGGGCAGGTGGAGGGGCGATGGAGGGTGTGGCTCGCTCCTCCAGCGGAGGGGGTGGGCCATCCCCCTTGCATTCAGGGAGCGCACTGCCGGAGCCAGGCGCCTGGCCTCACCTTGGAGGCGGCCCAATCCATCCAGCCTTCCGCACAGGGGTTCACATTGATGAGGACGAGGCCCTCCACCATCTCGGGGTTGTTCAGCTGCGATTCAAAAACAGAGGTGAGAGAGATAACCTGGGAATCTGAGATACCGTGAACTTTAAACGTTGACCCAGAGACTGAGAAATGTACCAGAAAAGGGCCTGTGTGGGCCACTCTCAAGTCTTCAACACCACCCGCCTTGTATAACTAGTTTCCGGTCAGCAGACCCGGGAGTGGAGCACGGCGGGCAGGGGGAGGAAGCCGCAGATGCGGAAGCACACATTCCTGGCAGATCTTCCCCGGGCAGTGCACCGCACCTCCCTGTCCCTCCACTTTCCCCCGCCTCAAAGTCAGACGGGGCACATGCTCCTAGGGACCAGTGAGAACTCTACTTGTAGGCAACCCATCTATCTCTCCCTACTACCTACCTACCTACCTACCTACCTGAGAGACAGCTGAGACCTTACTTGTCTGCTCAGAGCCTAGACAGCCAGATCATTTTGTATTCATGGCGGCATTGCTAACGTCTAGCAAAGTCTAGCAAGTAACAGCCAGTCCAAATATGGACAGCTGAATAAAACAACCATGACCACATTTTAAAACAATTGTTTGGTAAGGAGACACACAGGACTTGGGCCCACAGTAAATGAGTGACAACTGCCTTGTAAACACATATCCCTGCTACCAGTTTAGAATCAGTCGGGATCCCAGAGTCCCTGAGTCCAAACACCGCACACCTGACACAGAGAACTAGCAGGAGAACATGCAGTGACCCGAGGCCCTGTCCACAGGGCTCTGCTGAGCGATCAACGCCATGGGAAAAGACTGTCTAGGGTGGCATTTCACCCGTGTAAAGACAAGCTGTCTGTACATGCCTGGTGAGTATGCACACCACACACACGCATACCCTAGAACACTCGGCCCAATGTGGACTGTGGCTCTCCATTGGGAAGCGGAATCATGGGCCATTTTTTTTTTCTTTGGGTATTTTGGTGCTTTTCCATTTTGCTTCCTTACATTTGAATTAACTTTATCTAAAACATAATTTTAAAAAAATGCTGAAGAACTCACAGCAAATCGAGTAAGGATGTAGGCACCCGCTCCAGTTCCCATGCCAATAATGCTTTTCAGGCTGGAAGCAGAAATAAAAATTCATGTCACAGAAGAAATGAGCAACAAGAGCCCTGACAACCCTTAAAAGCTCCCCAACTCTGTCCCCAAGGGACCTTGCCTCTGCCAGCGTCTGCCCCAGTCATTACTGAGGGTGGCTGGCAAGCCAGACTAAGTGGGAACACGCTGCGGTGACAAGCCCTTGAGTACTTGAAACGCATCATGCTTTATGGCTTGACAGAGACCTTGACCTTGGAGAGACTCATCCCTTTTTCTCACTTTTCTCTCAACTGCTGCCCTGGCTGGCTCTGAGAGGCCATCTGACATTTACGGGAAGGTCCATTACTGCACTGCTTCCTCCCACCCCTAAGCTTTATTTTGGATTCTAAAACGTGGAGTGAAAATAAATTGGGCAAGCACTCTGAGGTATTATCATTGTACCAAAGGCTCAAGTCAGAAGGAAATGAGCACTGGAGAATAAGGGCCTGGAGAGAGAAATTCTGGGCTCTGGCATCCTTATTCCAGAATGTTCCATTACACTGAGAAACAATGGCAGAAGAGGGGGCGAGGAAAGGATGGGAGGCAGGGTGGTCCTCAGGCACCGTGTGCCCTCAAGGAGAAAACTCCAACTTAACAAGAGGTGGGCTGGAGGATGAAACAGGGTGTTCACCGAGTGTGGCCACTAATTTCTTTACTGATCTTAAATCTAAATGTTGTGTTCAGGTCAGATCAAGGCCAAAGAAGAGGAGAAGCTAGAAGTGAGACTTCTCTGCAGGCTGGAGGGGGCGCAGATCCCTCAATCTTACCCAAACTGGTGAAGGACTCCAGGAAGCATTTCAGCCAGCTGATCCATGGAGGGGTACATGTACCTGTGGAAAAGCCATGCAGGGGCAGTTAGTAGGAACCCAGACCTGACAGAAATGAATAATGCAAACACAGCGCACGTGAAGGGCAGGGACCAAGCAACGACCTGCCCATGTGCCCTGATGCCTCAGCCGAGCCCCCCAATGATACACACTGACCTACGCCACTGACCTATGTGTTCACTTCCTCAAACACCCTCTATGGATTGCTTCCCAGGCTCCAGGCCCCACAGCAAGCATCTCTAGAGCATTGTAAGTTCATCTCATCCTTCAACAACTTGAGGTTGCTGTGATTTTCCCCAAATATAAAGATTATAAATGTCACTGAGGCTGAGAGATAAGGGGCTTGCTTCACAAAGAGCAAGGATTTGGAGCCACAACTCATGTGGGCTGTGGAATTTCACGGCCCACCTTCTTCACTCACCTCCCAAAAGGTAATGCTTCCTGGCAATGTTTCAGGGAAGCTTCCTGCTGGTAGAGAGGTCCCTCCCCCTCCCATCTTCTCTTCCCAAGTGATGCACTGGAAGGAGTCAGGGAGATCCCTGCAGAGCAGGCGAGCCATCCAGATTAATTCGGCTTTGGCAAGTGGGTCCCCAGGGGCACACAGTGGTGCCTCAATTCACACATCCTCTGGGACCACAGCTCCTGTTAACTGAGGGCTGGGAGGTCCTCTCTGTTCAAAACTCCTTCATGACAGCAGCTACACAGGGGGGGGTGAGGCCAGAGAGGCTCACACTTGGGAGATCAGGGGATATGTGGGCGGCCTTGAGTCTGTGCATTAAGGCAGGGGTTTCCCCTTTGAGGAAACAACACAGCCTCAGATCACCAGCCCCTTACCAGGCTCTGGAAGAGGTTTCTTGTTCCCACTGCTCCCACCTTCCCACTGGCTGTGCCAGTTGACAACCTCTGGCACTATATGGGGCCACTTCCTAGGCTGGCTCTTGGCCAAGGACAAGTCTGCCTACCATGTGTGTCTGAACCCAGGTTTCGCCTCCCAGATTACCTACTGGTTCTGGGCCCACTTTCCCCTGGGCTTTTGCACATGCTGTTCCCTCTGTCTCCTCAGCAGCAAGTATGCACTTACCTCCCTGGAATTTACAGAAAGAAGGCCAAAGGCCTCTGCCCTGCCAGATGCCAACAACCCTAGTCAGAGTTCCCATGCATTCTCTCTCCTGTTTTCCCAGAAGGAACTTGAAGAGTTGAGCCTTTCACTAAGGCCTGGCCATCATCAGGGAGCCTGGTCCTTTTTTTTGAAGGTCCATAAGGCAAGGCTCTCTCTGTTAGGAGCAAACACCTGCAAAGATCCATGATCCTCTGAGCAGGTCCGTGGGACAGCGTTCAAGATGCCCCCTCAAGACCAGGGGCTCCAGGATGCTGGAGGGAATAGGGGTGATGCCGACTACAAGGCATTTCATGATGCCTGCCGTGGCAGAGAGGAATCAGAGCAGACATGAAGGAATTCTCGCAGAGCGATTGCTGGTCCTTGCTCATGCCAGGCTCCCGGTGCGGTCACGGGACACCATGTGAGCAAGGCAGAGTCCAGTACAGGAGCCGAAACAAGCGAGTGTAACTAACAACAAAGGTGACCATGAGGGAGGTGGAGGAGCTGCATGGGGACACTGACTGGGAGCCCTGTTCTGATCAAGTGGTCAGGGAGGGCTTCCTGGAGGAAGTAACATCAAAGGGGTCATGGGGTTTGAGGAGTGAAGAACACAGGAAATGTACTCTGGGCAGGGGGACCAGCATGTGCAACCGCTCTGGAAAGAGCCAGGAGGAGCCTGGCCTGTGTGGCTACATATAAATGGAGCCATTTTCTTTCTGAAATGGCCACGACTCAGTTTGGAGCCAGCAGCCCCCAAAGGTGATGCTGGGGAGGCTGCTTAGGCCCCGGGGTTTCCTCCCTCCATGCTCCTGGGGTTGGGTACACAGTCAGGGAGCACCCTGATCCTACTTGCAAGGCCCCCAGGCATAAGAAGCTATTTCCAGGGCTGGGAGGAGCCTGCTGCCTCTGCCTCAGGATGGGGTGCTCTGCAGGGCCTGGGAGACCCCCACTAGTGAGGCAGAGCAAGCCAGGCCAGTGCAGACCGCTGTTCCCACTGGCCACACACTGGGACTGCCTGGTAATTTGGGGGAACAAGCCCCTGGCACCTTGGCCTCCCGGCCAACTGAACAAAAACATCCCAAGCCTCCCCACGGGGAGCTAAGAGCCACTGGGTGGCTACGAGGCTTTCAAACAATTGCTTCACCCCAAGATAGATTTGCTGACAGACCTTTGGCTTAATCTTCTGGTTAACAGTTAACCACGTCCCACTGTATTAAGCAGCTTTGAATTTTTGGTCCTGGTCCCAAGAGCTAGATGTCCTGTCCCTTCTTCTCTGATAAAGGTTAATTATTAAGGATAATCCAGAACGCTAATAAAAAAGATCTATGTATGAATGCCGAGAAAGCCCCTCTGGAGTTCTCTAAACCTCAGAACCTGCTCCGACCCTGGTTTAATCACAGCCTGGCGGTAAGCCCCGAGAGGCCTGCCTCCTCCACGCTGGCTGCATGCTGGGGAGGAGCAGGCAGTGTCAACACCCGGGAACCAGCCCCAGGCTCCCAAGGGAATATGAATCTTACAGTCAGCAGACTGGGCCCAAACCCCACCTCCCCCAACTGAACTAGCTGTGTGACCTTGAACAAGGTCCTGAACCCCTCTGCACCTCCGTGTCTTCATCTAGAAGACGGAGCTACCACCACCAGCCGTGTACACCAGCCACAAGGAGTAAACATTAATGGCATGTGTGAATAAAAATTATAAAGCCTGGACCATGGGAAGTACTTATCAATATTACTTCCTATTTTTTGCTCTTTTTCTCCCCAGCTTTCTAGATCTTTCGCCTAACTACCCAGTCTTATCAAGGCCTCTCCTGCCTCTGTCCTGACTGGAGATGGATGGTGGTGATGGCTGCACACTAAGGCGAATGTACTTAGTGCCACTGAACTGTGCACTTAAAAATGGTTGAAATGGTAAAATTCAGGTTTTATACATATGCTGCAACAAAAATTAAAAGCCAGCCTAAAGCCTCCCCCACCACCTGTTTCCACCCTGCACGGCTTTCTCTCCCTCCCCTGGGGCACGAGACTCCCCCTTACCCCATGGGGAAGGATGCAGCACCGTCCTGCTGGCCAGGGGCATCCACGTGGCAGACAGCAAAGTGCTGGGTGATCTCCTGCATGTCCTCGGAGTTGAAGAGGGGGTTGTAGCAGGTTTTGTCTAGATAATGGGCAGGGAAGAGAGAAGAGGCAGAAATCAGGAGACAATAAATTAGGTTCCTCTGTGGCAAAGGGTATTCACCTTGTTTGTTTCACGCCTGTTCAGCTAGAGAAACAAACTTATGAGAAAGAAGCCTATCTTTTTTCCCCGTCTCACTTTCCTCTGGTAAGAAAAGGGCAAGACTAAGCCACGGGGCCGGGAAGTGGGCACGGAGGTGGGGATGGTCAATGAATTTTCCTGTACTTGCTGGTGGGTGAATGTCAGACTTCCAGTTGGTGCTGGGAAGGGACTCCCGCTGCAGCCCCCAGTCATGGCCATGATGGCCTTGGTGTGAGGTGGGGCTGCTCTGCCGAGCCTCTTTCTCTGGGTCTCCTAAACTCTCACACTGGGGATACTGGCCAGGGTACACATGATTTTCAAACAAGGAGCATAGTAAATAAAGCACGGGCCCTCCCACTTCTAATGAGGTCTTGGATGAGTCTCCTAAATGCTGAGGGCCTAAGGCAAAGAGAGCCAGCTGGTCACCAAACCAGTTCCCTTTTTCTCCTGGGCGCACAACCGGACTCATTTCCTGGCCTCCCTTGGAATTGGAGGCAGCCAAAAGCATGTAAGGTTCACCATTTCCTCCTAGCACCTGCCCACCAACCCTCTGGCTTTCTCTCTCTTCTGTCATCTACCTGCCAGATGCAAAGGAGCTGGAAGAAACCTCTGAGGCCCCAGGGGATGGTGGAGCCATGAGCTGGAAGGAGCCTGGGTCCCTGAATCACCACATAGAAGATGTCCCACATCATGCCCGCTAAGTTGTTGTTACAAGGGTAAGAAATATATTGTGTTAAGAAATATATTGGGGCCTTCTGCTACAATAATTAGCTCACTATGGCTAATAATCAGCCTCTCTAAAATGGGGGAGTAAAACACCATAATTCCATTTCCTCATCAGGGTCCAGTAAAAGAAGGTGATAGATATCAAACATACCCAGCCTGGGAACTGCTACATCGTGGACACAAGGGGGACACATAGGGGAAGAAGTGAGATCAAAGAGAAGTGAGAGTGAGCAGAAAGATGGTTTTCGGTGACTGACATCATCCCAGCCTCAAGCTATTCACAAACTATAGGAAAAAAATGTAAACCAGGTAGTCAGTCTGTCAATCAATAATCAAGGAAGCATTCAGTTTGCAATACTCAAATTCACAGAGATTCTTGGGAATCCCTGTCACTGCCTTCTGAATCATCCCAGAAAGATTCACTCCTATTCTGTGTAATTTTAAAATTAAATAGATCTTATTCCATTAGCATATGTGAAAAACAGGGAGCACACATCTGGTCCCAATCCCTGGCAATCTCAAGAATTCAGTGTAGACATTTATAGTTAGCATAATCACAGCCAGGAAGTGGAAACAATTTCAAGTGTCCATCAGCTAAAGCACGTGTAAACAAAATGTGGTACATCCATACAATGGAATATCCATTGGCATAAAAGAATGAAGTACTGATACATGGATGAACTTTGAAAACATTATAAACAAAACCTGTCACAATAGACCACATATTGTGTGATTCACTTTGTAAAAAATGTCTGGCATAGGCAGATCCTTAAAGACAGAAAGTAGATTAGAAATTGCCAGGGGCTGGAGGTATGGGAGATTAGGGGTGGATAGGTAAATGGCACAGCATTTTTCAGGGTAACAAAAGTGTTCTGAAATTTGTGTGGATAGTTGTACAACTCTGAAAATACTAAAAACCACTGGACACATTAATTAATTCAAAGAAGTCACTGCCACATACAGACATGGTTGGGAGGGGGGTCCCTGAGTTCCCAGCACCCCCAGGCTCACAGACAGCTCCATGCCCCTTGCAGTGCATTCCAGGTCCTTCCAGCCTGTGGCAAGAGTTTTTCCCAGAACAGCTCCAGGAAGTCCCAGCAAAAGAGAAACAACCGGACTCCCCAGCACCAGTCCTTCCTAGCTGTCCTCTTCCTCCACCCCCCATGGGAACTGGTTCACCATAAAACAGTGGCTCCTAGGAACTTACGGTTCATGCCAATGTCGTGGTATGTGAGGATGACAGGCCGGTTTCCCTTGGGGGTTCCACAGAGTGTGACATGAATAGAGCCATGTAAAGTCTCGATGTCCTGTTCCTGAGGAGAGACAGCAGACAGGGCTCCGTCATGAGGGACCTGCAGCACGAGCGTGGCTGTGATCACTGGCTGCACAGACCCAGCGGGTTTCCGACTGTTTTGAGGAACCACTCCGAAAACCAGGGAGGAAAGGGAAAGGAGAACTCAACTGGGAGGCAGAGGAAAGAGTCCTGGTTCAGACAGGGCCATGAACTACACAAAACCTTTTGAAGGCACCAGCCCAGAGCACCTTTCTGCACAGGACCTTATTTTCTCCATCTGGAAAACTGAGGTTATCAAGGCATAAGCCTCCTTGATTAGCTGTTCCCACATCTCACCTGTCCCACAGGTTATTATACCTGTGATGGACATCTGATGGTATGGGGCTGCACCAAATTCACTCCCTACTTGCAAGGACAACCCCCAGTTCCCTTTGGGAATCATCACACTCTCACCATCCATCCTAGAAGGTCTATTGACAATGATTCCTCCCTAGCTGCCAAGCCCAATTCCTGCATGGCACCTCCCTGCTATAGGACTGGTTCAGGGGAGGGCACATGAGTCGGGTCAAGCCAAAGAGAGCCAACCACACTCACTTCTAGCTACTGGGGAAATGGATTGGACTTGACCCAGCAATGCTGAGAGGGCTGGATGTGCAGCAGCCATATTGTTACCATGAGGCTGGGGCCTGTCTGAAATCACAGCCAGCCCAGAGATGGAAAAGAGAAAGAGAAGTCTTGGTGACAGCATCCACTGCCTGGGATTCTCAGTCACATGGGCCAACAACCTCTGAACCTCCTTAAGCCATTTCAAATTAATCAATAGAACCCTAAACAAGGCCTTATCCATTTCAGACAGCCAGGTCCTTCTTCTCCTGGTCAAGGCCATTCTCCAGCGTGTATCTTCCTATTGAGGGGCTCATGCAGGAGTCACCCCACACTTTTCAGTACTAAACCACAATTTTGTTTTGTTTTTGAAGAGCTAAAGACCTTTTCTCTATGCTGAAAAAAAAAAGTCCCCTTGCCTTGATCCCAAGCACCTCAGCTCATTCATAGACCAATTTCTCACTTTCAACAAGGGGGTGGTTGTGAACCTTTATCAGTCCATCTCTTCTGCTTGACTTCAACCCACACCTGTCTTGGGTCCCCACCTTCCTCCAGGTCCTCAGAAGCTCAAAGGACCCTCACTCTGCCTGAGCGTTTTCCCTGAGGGCAGTGACCTCTCCCTGTGAAATGCTTCCTGCCTGGGTCCCCACAACCCCATCAGAGGTAGGGGGCAGGGACAGCCAGCCTACTGAGGACAGGACACCTTCTGAGTGCTGGGCACAATGCTGAGCCATTTCCCTCTGCGTTCTTCATCCCTACAAGACCCCTCAAGGGTGGCATGTCCCTGAGCCATCAGATGGTGACACTGGCTCAGGGAAATAAAAGTTGGCCACCCAGAGTCACACGCAGGACCCACCCAGACTGTCAATCTCCTGCTTCTTTCTCTCTCACACTCCAGAGGCTCAAAAAGTCAAACCATGTTCATGCCTCAGGAAGCCACCTTAGACACTCAATGTTATTTTCCCAAGAAGGAACACAGAATCCAGAGGCCATCTGACCTGATGACAGAAGCCACATCCATTGCTGCCAAACTGTGGTAGAAAGAAAGGTCAGTACCCACGCTTCATGGGTGAGAAGGGACAGGCCAGGCCACTTAGGAGCCCAGAGGACCTGGGCAAGTCACTCTTCCACAGCTCTGTCTGTGCAATGGGGCAGACCTAGGACCTGCCACCCCAGGATGCTGGGCTGCCCACAGGACACACCACAGGGGCTGTGCCCACAGCCCCTGGTCCCTGACCTTCCGAGGTAGGGTGATGTGGCCACACACACTGTCTATGGGTTGCAAATCAAATCTCACCTCAGCTCACTTCTTTCTTATGAAACTTAAGCCAGCCCAATTTTATCCAATAAACATTTATTAAGCACCTAGTATATGCCTCAGTCCCAGGGTGCGGTGTATACAGAGATGAGTAGATAAGAACTCACAAACTGGTGGCAGGGAGTGGAGTGGGCCCCAGGACTGTGGCAAAAGGCACCAAGAGCTTGCCTGAGACACACGAGGCACCCTGGGACAGTGAGAATGAGGCTCTAACCCACCAGGGGGCCCAAGTGCCGTGGAGGGTGGCCAGGGTAGGCCCTCATTCTTTGAAGTTGATGGTTGTGAATCGGAGGAACTTGGCTCAGGATTCTTAGGCTCTATCTCCAGAGCAGGAAAGTGCAAAATCTGCCATTTTTACTGCTTCTTCCCCACCCCAGGCACAGAGACACGGGGCTTCCAGCCCCCACTCTGAAGACCCCTAAAGCTAGCAAGGCTGAAGTTAGGAAACCAAGGGGTACGTTGCCGCGACTGCAATCGTGCCTCTGTGAAACAGAGAGTGTAACAGAGCCCCCTTGGGGAGTGTGGATGCAAAAGGTGACAAGGAGGGGAATAAACAGGCCATGGCACAGAGGACCCCCTGCTCCCTGTTAGTGACTGGACCCACCCCCAGCACAGGGGTCCTCCTGAGCGACCTGCCTGTCACGGCAAAAAAGTAAGTCCCCTGAGCACAGACATGGCCCATCTCCTGGCCCTTTCTCTTCCGCTCACTACCCAACACCTCACTCCTGCTGTGCGATGGGAACAGCCCTGGGACCTAGACCAGCACTGGAAAAATCCACAGGCAGGGAAGCAGCAGCCAGGCCCCGGGTGGGGGCCACAGATCATCTGGTGGGCCCAGTCCTGGCCCTGAGGCCTCTGGGAGAACAGTGGGCCATTGTGAGGGCCACATTCTCTATTGTCTCCCCAGCTGACCCACATGGCATCCTCTAAAAATAAGCCAGGTCAGGCAGTGTCCCCACCAGCCTGGGGACATCAGGGTTCATTCAAATCCAAGCTCTGCTCTTCCCCAACTCCCTGAGACCCTGGGTCCCCACTTGTGAGACAGGAGTGAGCCAGCTCAGCAGAGGAGATGCCCCTGTGGTCTGGAACACAGGACCGGAGGCAGGGGGATTCTTCATACAGAGTAGCAGGGGATTTTAATGTGGTGCTTGGACACCACCTTGGTGGCAGATATGAGCCACCCAGCCCAGGCTGGCACCAAGGGCAGGGATGGGTGACGGATGTGTCCTTATCTCTTTGGAGGCCTTAAAATTATATACCCTTGGTAGCAGATCGGTCCATGAAGACAGGGGCTGCCTCTGCCCATTTACTGTTACAGCTTCAGATCCTGGCACAGCTGCCTGAGCACACTGCCGGGCACACAGAAGGTGCTGAGAACTCGCTGGGTGAAGATCCGAGACTTGCGTGATCACAGCAAACATAACTTCTCTAGAAAGTCCACTGACCTACTTTGGATTCAGGCTGCACTCCACCCCTTAATTAGCTGAGATTCTCAGCAAGTTCCCCCCACCCTGTAAAGCTCCCAGGATTGGAGTGAAATCTCCAAGGGTTGAAGTGAAATCTCCCAGGATTGGCATGAAATCTCCCAAGATTGGAGTGAAATCTCCCAGGGTTGAAGTGAAATCTCCCAGGATTGGCATGAAATCTCCCAAGACTGGAGTGAAATCTCCCAGCATGGGTGTCAAATCTCCCAGGACTGGAATGCAATCTCCCAGGATTGGAGTGAAATCCCTAGGACTGCATGAGCCTCTCAAAAAGTGCAAGTGACATAGTGAAGGTGTGCAGGTATGGAGCTGTTTCCTACACCTAAAAGAGGTAATTGATAAGATTCGCTAAGAGCCCGCCTCACCCACAGCCGTGGGCAAGATTGTCAACCCACTACCCAGCCGAAGGAGCCGAGGAGGCTTCCCCGAGGTCACATGGCTTACAGTGGCAGAGCCAGGGTTAGGGCCTGGCCCTCCTGGCCATCATGCAGGAGTTGGTCCCCACCAGCCCTCCCCTGAGCTCTGAACCCACCAGCCCACACAGGTGGGAGGAAGAAAGGCACGCATGGTCTTCCTGGTGCCTAAGTCCCATTCCGTAAGTCACACAAGCACACATGCACACAAATGCATACATACACACACATGTCACGCATTCATGCATGTGCGCGTGCACGTGCACACACACACACGGTTCCAAGCCAGCCCTTGTGCTCTCTCTCCATTGGCCAAAACCAAGAGGACTGCCTGAGACTGGAGGGAAGAGTCAAAACACTCACAAATACCAGCCTTTGTGCTCTTCAGTCCCAGGGGAACATTCGGTCCTGTCCCTGTGAGGATGAGTCACCACCCAGTGTCCTGTGGGAGGAACCTGGCCTGCATCCCCACCCCGGTCTCCCAAAGAGAGCGCACCGAGGGCCCCCCTCTGGCCAGGCCTCCTCCCCCAACCAGACTCCCACCTCAGCTCTTCCACATTCCACGCCAGGTCTCAAAAATCCCTGCCCACAGGATCTGATCCAGCCAGGGCCACACAAGAGAGGTCAACCCACAGGTTTTGCTCTAGCCTCCTCTGGAAGAATCTAGAAAGCTACTCCCTCAAAATGTAGATGGGATGGCAGGATAGTGGCCATAATCAGCTACCAAGTCTGACTTCAGGCCATGCCCAGAGCAGTTTACAACCTCATCCACACAAACAACCTACCGGGTACAACTGTCTGTATGGTACAGATGAGGAGACGGAGGCCCAGAGGGGGTGAGTAATTGCCCAAGGCCACACAGCTGTCACAGCCCAAGAACTGGTCCATGTCCCAAACCTATGCTCTTTGGTGTCTGTTTTACATTCTGTGCCAGGTGGTACATGACAGAAGGAAACCTTTACTATGTAATGGGTACCATGACTCACTGAAGAGGGACATGGTAAGTCAGGTCTCCCACGGATGTGACTGTAGCTACCTTTTTCTCTTCCCAGCATCTCCCAGGACCAGCAATCCACAGCCCATTCTGGGAAGCAGTGTGAGTGGCATAAAGAATACAGAAATAACACCTGTCCTCCCATTCTCTCCCAAACATGCACCTGACCCCAACCTGCGGCAGGTCTGGCAGGTGTATCAGACATGA